GTTCCAGACCCTGACTGATTTATCTTGTTTCTCTTGACTGTGTGTTTTGGAAAGCCACTTCAAATCTTCCATGAAAAGACCGCATAGGGGCGCCTGGGTGGCTCAGTGGTTAAGTGTCTGCCTTTGGCTCGGGTCATGATCTCGGGGTCCTGGGATCAAGCCACGCGTCAGGCTCCCGGCTCAGTGGGGAGCCTGCTTCTCCCTCTCTCTCTCTACTGCTCCCCCTGCCTGTGCTCTCTCTGTCAAATAAATAAATAAAATCTTAAAAAAAAAAGACCTTATAAACAAAGAAACAAATGCAATAAATAAAGGGTGTAGGTACTATAATAGAAGTCCATCTCCATCTTGCTAGATGCACAGTGTTTGAAAGGCAGAAAAAGAAAAGGCAAGGAGGAAGCCATCAGCAAGAACAAAGGTATGGGGGAGAAAAATCGCTGGGCTTATTCAGGGAAATTTCAAGTAGCTCAAGATTTCTAAGCACAGGGTAAGCGAGAAAGCTGGAGACACAGGCAGGCCAAGATAATGGGCCTCTCCAGCAAGCGAAGGAGTTGAATATCATCTTGAACATAACTTTGGTCATGATAATGGCGGCGGCTAACGTTCACTGACACCTTGCTCTGGGCCAGGTGCTGTTCTGAGCCTGATAACTAGTCCTAGAAGGCAGGTCTATTATCATGCCTTTTCCATAGATGGGGAAACGAAAGGGTTTGGGAGAAATGAGCTGTTGAAGGATTTTAAGCAAGAGTAGCATGTTGAAATTTGTATTTTTAAAGCACATCTCCATACATACTCAAATATTTACAGATGAAGTGATACATCTTGGCTTGTCTTCAAAAGAACCAGAGAGTGTGTGGGTGGGGACATAAAGATTTCTAGGAGCTGATTATTGCCGAGGCTGGGTGATCCCTCCCAAGAGGTTTATTATATTAGTATCTCTCCTTTTGTATATGTTTGAAGTTTTCCATAATAAATGTTTAAAAAAAAAATCACTGGTGGGATGGCTGGGTGCCTCAGTCGGTTGAGCAGTTGCCTTTGGTTCAGGTCATGATCCGGGGATCCTGGGATCGAGTCCCACATTGGGTTCCTTGCTCAACAGAGCCTGCTTCTCCCTCTGCCGGCCGCTCCCCCTGCTTGTGCTCTCTCTCGCTCTCACTCTCTTTCTCTGACAAATAAATAAAATCTTAAAAAAAAAAAATCACTGGCTGTAATGTGGACATCCAATTGAAAAGTGTGAAGCAGGAAGTAATGACACCCGGCTAGGGGATTAACAGACAAGAGTTGATCAGAGCTAGGGAAGCAGCAGGATAGAAAAAAAGAGGACTTTCTGAGAGAAAAATAAAATTGCTTGGTAACTATGTTTGTGGTGGGAAATAGAGGTAGGGAAAAATCTCAGGTTTAAAGTCAGCCTCAGGTACCTAGCTTAAGTGACTGGGTTAATGGAGGAGCTGTTCATGTAACAGGGAGTACAAAGACAGGTTTGGCAAAGTGGAAGGAAGGGTGTGGAAATGTGCTCAATTTGGGATGTGTCAAGTTTGCTGTGGCAATAGGTTGGACCTCCAAACTCATGGCCCTTTCGTAGAAGACCCTCGAGTATATACCTCCCAAATAAACGTACTTGTTTGTAGATTATCCCCATGATCTGCAGTATAAATACATTTTGCACAGCACGGGAGTTCTATTTCCTTCCCACAGTCTAATGCGCTGTATACTGTTAGCTTATGCACACCCTACTTTGAGGATCAGTGATCCATGTAAGGATGACGGCTTTAGGGACTGAGGTGCTCAACTTCTCTGAACCTCAATTTATTTCCCTGTAAAACGAAAGTATCGGGGCGCCTGGGTGGCTCAGTACGTTAAGCATTGGACTCTTGGTTTCAGCTCAGGTCACGCATGATCTCAGGGTCTCAGGTCATGCTCTCAGGGTCGTGAGATCAAGCCTGGTGTCAGGCTCCGCGCTCAGCGGGGAGTGTGCTTGAGATTCTCTCTCTCTCTCCCTCTCCTTCTGTCTCACCCCCTGCTCAAGCGCTCTCTAAAATAAATAAAATCTTAAAAAAAAAAAAAAAGTATCAGGGCGCCTGGGTGGCTCGGTCGGTTAAGCGTCTGCCTTCGGCTCAGGTCATGATCCCAGGGTCCTGGGATCGAGCCCCGCGTCGGGCTCCCTGCTCAGCAGAGAGCCTGCTTCTCCCTCTCCTTCTGCCTGCCTCTCTGCCTACTTGTGCTCTCTATCTGTCAAATAAATAAATAAAATCTTTAAAAAAAAAAAAAGTATCACTTTCCTTACAGGGGAACAATGACAATTTCATGAGATTACAGGTATATACTGACGTCAGCAAAAGTACAGCGCCAGGGGTTCAGAAAGGCTGTTCCCACCCCACATTCTACCTTCTCCCCACACCTCTTGCCCCAGCCCCCATTTCATCATGAGAACACCAGAACAGACAATGCTTGTGTCTCATGTGATCTGTCTTTGTGATGAATTTGGAGATGCATGTCAGTGGGATGCCAAGCAGCCTGAGCTAGCTGATTGCGAGTGCGGCAAGCACTCCCCTTCATGAGCATTTGCTTGCTTCCATCCCACCCCCGAGCTGAAGCGCAGAAATGCTGGCCACCAGCCCTACAGCAGGTCACACACTCTGTGCAGACTTGAGAAGGGCTCCATATCCTAACCAGAGACACACACGTGCACACTGAACATCTGCTAAGACTTCTCACCTGGGATTCGTTCAAACAGCAGCAAGAACTTCAATAGACTAATCATTCTTTAGTTCGTTGACTATTAGTGGGGCTAGGGGCGAGATGAGGAGGATACACCAAAGATTTCAACTTAGCATCACTCCAGATACACCCGAGTATATCCTGTGAGGCTCTGGATGGCAACCTATCACCTCACAGCTCAGAATGTCCCCCCCGCCGCCCCCAAACAGATAGAAGCCACGTTCACACTATCGTAGCAAGTGCCAACAGAGAACTGTGTAAATGAGATCATGATGGTGGGTCTCACCTCCTTGAGGACTCAGCTTGGCACTAGCTACAAGCAGCTGAGAGCCTGACTCAAATTCCCAACGCCCATTGAGGGCAAATAAACATTAAAAGACGAGACACAGGTTTGGTAACATACCTGTCTGTAACACAAAGAGCACATTTATCTATCTTAGAGATTAGAACTGGGAATTCTGTGCTCTGCCCCTGGTGGAGGGTAAAAATGATCTAGAGGTGTTAGGAAGTAGTTAAGATTTCAACTCCTACTTCCGACATTTTCTCTAGAATGATAAATTCCTGTACATCTTTACACTCTGAGGAACTGAAAATCGTATGCAAAATAAGCCCATATAAGGCTTGGTATCCACATCTGAAATAAACAATGATGGAGCTGAAGTTAAAGACAAGGTGATGGTAAACAGCGATAAAGAGGCTCGCCTTTGAGGACTCGCGGTCCAATGCTGCCCCCTAGCACTTTGCGAGCGGAATAACACTAACAAGTCAACTGGTTTCAGGACTGAAATCTTTAGCATTGGTATTTGCTATCGACGTTGTTGCCAAGAAAAGAGGGGAGAGGGGAGGGCCTCTACAATTACGCAGCGATAGCCCACCTTAATACAAAGTGTCCTTTCAGAAAGACCCCGGCATTCGGTAACACACCATCTAGTGGACTGCTCTAGGTCTTCGCCAGCAAACCTGGAAGGGCCTTGAAGGTGCAGAAGATGCCCTTCCCTGAGCTGTTTGCTTGAATATAGTTAAGTGGGATCCATTACTTCTTTGGGCAGAGTCAGAGTCATTCTTTGTCACTGGAAAAACTCCCTCCTCTGACTTTCCCAGGTGTTCACAAGGAGGTGGGGTGGAAGTTCATAGACCTACTTGATACTCTCATAACTAATGCTCCTTAAATACATGGTCTAACGTCAGTTTAAAGCAAGGTTACACTAAAACCGAATTATGCAACCGTCTGTCACCCCTGGAACCTAAATTAAATGGAACATTTAAATTGATATAATAAATATTTCCAGGAAATGGAGTGGCTCATTAAGACAGAGGTACCAGGAGTTCATGGGACCCCTCCCCAACGAACACCAATGACAACCATTTGAAGTAATACGCCCAGAAAAGTCTTCTCATTTCCATTATCACCATTCCAAGAAAACTTGGAAGTTCAAAATTAATTCCATGAAACCTCACTGCTCTCCTATCAAGCCAACTGACCTTAATAGCTCGACAGAGGCTCTGTTGTTTTGTTTTGTTTTTACAGTCTTGAGGTCTTTTATTTTCTTTACATTTATCATGCCATGAATTCATAGGGAATGGGTTCCAGCAGTTCAGGCTTCTTTCCATTAGTTCTCACAAAGTGTGCTTCTCTGGGTGGGACAGGCTGGCGCTTCAGTTGAACCCAAGTACCTTTCTCTTTGGCTTCTTTTTCTGATCATTTTCCTTCACACGCTTCAGGAAACTGTCTTGGCTCTTTGGGTGTTTAATATGCTCAATGCGTACATTAATTCTCTTGGCAAGAATCTTGCTCTTGTTTGTTTACAACAATGCCAACAGCATGCTGAGTAACATTGTAGACTCTTCCAGTTTTGCCATGGTAACATTTGTGGGGCATTCCTTTTTGAACAGTGCCCATTCCGTTGATGTCCACAATATCACCTTTCTTATAGATTCACATGTATGTGGCCAAAGGAACAACTCCATGTTTTCTAAAAGGTCTAGAGAACATATAGCGGGTACCTCTCCTCTTTCCCTTTGTGTTGGTCATTTTGGCAAATTACTGGAAGATGGCGGTTCCCGCCGAAAGGATCAACAGAGGCTCTGTTAACTGATACCCTGAAACATGGAGAGTTCTATGCTGGGAAAGGGGGAAATAGTAATTAGGGTAAACTGTGAAATAGGAGAATATCTATTATTTCTGGCTACAAACAGGTGTTTCCAAACTCTCACGTTTAGTCTGAAAAGAAACACATCCAAGACAGTGTGTTTGTGTGTAGGTGGGAAGGAAAGAACAACATACATTTATTTTCAAACAAAAGTTGTTATTTGTTTATTAAGACATTTCTGTTAAATAAGCACAGCTGGCTCAATAAATCATTATACATATATTATCACACATTCAGAAAGTTTCTGAGAAGATATATCAAGATGGGCTTCTCTTGTGGCTCAAATGGATCTGAGAAAAGAACAGAAGAAATTATACACTTGATTTACAGCTGCTGGTCATCAACAAACAAACGTGCTGGCTATGTAACTTGGGGAGGCAGGATAGCTAGACTGCTTTCCCCTCTTGCTAATGTTTTGCTCAACAATTAAACCTATATGCACTCCCAGAGTCTCCTCAATATGAAGAGAAAATATATGAATCTCATACATACGTATGAATCTCAGAAAAGAGATGAACATGCCAACTGCAAAGCTCAACCTCAGAACTACCATATTTCCAAGTCAAAGATCAAGCCATGGGAAGGGAAGCATGTTCTACTGTTTTAAATACTGGGCAGCAAAACTAATGACCAGCCATTAACTAGCTCTGTGACAAGCTACCATTAACTAGCCACAGGGCAAGCTACTTTTAATCTCTCAAGAAACATATACAAAATAAGGCGGTTTGAGCTCATGGAAACTATAATTATATGTGAAGATACTCATCTCTCACTATTATGTTTATCCTTTGTGGATTAAATGTTCAGTAATAACAATTTTGATGACCATTAGTGAATACCATATTAGAGATCTGACCTCAGAAAAACAGAGCCAGATTGTTGTGATTTGGAATAAAAATTCCCAGGGAAGGTTCAAGTCCAACTGGGCTCTTCCTGATCTACTTCCATCCTACTCCCCTACCTGAAGGTACAGCAATCCAGTGGCAAAGAAACAAAGATCAGCTAATGTGGTCCCTCTGCCAAGTGACAGCAATGGGTTTAACCTTAAAACCTGAAGAATCAATAAAAAAGGATTTTCTTACTTCACATATTCTCTTCAGAAGTCTGAGTAATGATGCAACCTGAAAAAGTGAAAGACAAATCATCTAAACTTCATGATTACCCAGAGTACTGTCAATGACAATGGCACTCAGGAAGATTTTCTGGGGCGGGCGGGGGGGGGGAAGGGGGGGATGTAATCATAACCATTCTCACCAGGCAGCTAGGTTAAGACACCTCAATCTGACATTCTGAAGGATCCTAAAGCTAATTCCCCAGATTTTTTTTTTTTTTTAAGATTTTATTTATTTACTCATGAGAGACAGAGAGAGAGAGAGAGAGAGAGAGAGGGGCAGAGGGAGAAGCACGCTCCCCGCTGAGCAGGGAGCCCGATGCGGGACTCGAACCCAGGAGTCTGGGATCATGACCTGAGCCGAAGGCAGACGCTTAACCATCTGAGCCATCCAGGCGCCCTAATTCCCCAGATTTTAGTAAAAGCATTAAGCTTGCTCCAAAGCATTAAATGGGGGTCTATGAAATACCTGATCAGCCCTATCCAGCAGACATGTCAGTCCAACCCACTTGCTAGAAATAGTCTCCCTAGACAGCAGTGCTCTAGAGGAAACTCTAATGGCCTCTGCTGCTTAAACTTAGAGAAAATAAGATTCAATTATAATAAAACCAAAGCTTTGGGAGAGAATTTCTAAGTGCAGTAGGAACCTGCATTCCTTTATAAAACCCGACCTGAAAGAATCACTCCAAAAGTGATTGGGAATGAGAATGATGGAATATATCAATTTTCCAGGTGTATCCCATTTTCCTTTCAAAGTAGAAATTGAGACCATATTACTGTTTGCTTTGCCCTCTTTTCACAATTATCTCCTCAAAACCAATTTACAATCCTCCTTTTCTTCACACCAGATTTCAGTATTTTGAAAGCAGGGTTTCCCGGAAGCATACAAACCATAAACATGGGGTCCTATGCAGCATTCACCACCAACACAGGAGAGCAAGGACGGGGACTATGACTGAAGTCACAGACTCCCAGCTCGTCAGTTCCCCAGGACAGCCACCTTGTCACCTGTATCTTCTAGCAACCGTCAACTAGGGTTGGTTTATTCCCACTTTACAGCCAAGTATGCTGAGTACAGAAAAGAACCTGGACAGAGCATAACTTTTAGACATCTCTGTGGCTGACATCCTTATTTACAGCTTACAGCTGCAGGGAAAGCAGCACCTCTTTCAAAAAAAAAAAAAAAAAAAATCACTTAAATCTAGTGGAGTAAACACTGAATTGTCAAATCAACAAAGGTTAATCTAAACATAAGGCACAAGGCGCCTGGGTGGCTCAGTTGGTTAAGCGACTGCCTTCAGCTCAGGTCATGATCCTGGAGTCCCGGGATTGAGTCCCACATCGGGCTCCCTGCTCAGCGGGGAGCCTGCTTCTCCCTCTGACCCTCCCCCCTCTCATGCTCTCTATCTCATCCTCTCTCAGATAAATAAATAAAATCTTTAAAAAAAATAAAATAAAATAAAATAAACATAAGGCACGAAGAAAGTGGCAATATTATTAAAGTGGCTACTCTTCCTCAAACTGACATTCTCAAAATACAGCTTACCAACCCCAAATAAATAATTTTTTAAAAAAAATTAATAAATAAATCTCCAGGTAAACTTTTCTGCTAGTCACATATTATGGTAGAAAAATGCATTTTGGGGGCGTCTGGGTGGCTCAGTTGGTTAAGCGTCTGTCTGCCTTTGCTCAGGTCATGATCCCAGGGTCCTGGGATCGAGCCCTGTGTCGGGCTCCCTGCTCAGTGGGAAGCCTGCTTCTCCCTCTCCTACTCCCCCTGCTTGTGCTGTCAAACAAATAAAATCTTTAAAAAAAATGCATTTTGCTAATGAAGATGTCAAGCTAAACACTCTACAATTAATAATTTATCACTGTACCTGATCAATAAGCTATAGAATTAATAAACTACATGTAAGTGCAGAATGGGGAATCTAACAACAGTACCTCTTCATATTTTCAAGAGAAGGTTACAGGTATTTCTGATGTTTAAACATAAATAATACCCACCTATATAGCAGGGCCTTGCCCTTTTCGTTCCCCAAGGCAAAATACCCACTTCTGGGAGAAAAATCCATGGTATGAACAAGAGAAATAGTCTTCTTTTTAATGACTGGGAAGTTTGAAAATACTGTACAGGACGGAAGGTGAACCTGTAGGAAATAATACAAAGCTTTAAATCACAACTGCGAACTCATCTTTAATTTTAGGCTTCGTTCTACCTTTCTGCTGGAACAAAAAGTTCATTTTGATGGTAGTACATATGATGTACAATTCTCTCAATGGAGCGAAGTGTTCTGAAATTAAAATTTGCTTTTCAATGTGCTATTAACTGAGAGGGAAAGGAGGCAGGAGAAGAAAGCATCTCCCTGATGCTTCTAATGCAGCATCCATGGTGCTCTGGGAGATGCTGGTGTTGCTGAGCAGATAAGTAAACGAACACACTGAAGTAAAAAGTCAACAGTGGTACCCAGTAATGCTCTAACTTAATGACTACAGTAAACAATACCGTGGTCACAGGGCACAGATACTTTAATTATGAAGAGTCTGATTTTACATAACTGAAACCCAGCTAAGGCCTACCAACTATTCCAATAGCATATGATTTCCTTTCTACACTTTTACTTCTCAATGTATGTAATAATGTATTCTTTGCCTTTTCCAATCTCCTCCGAAGGAGGACAAACTCATGAAAACCTGATTCATCGAGAGAAACTCTGTTGTGATTTAAACAGAGCCAAAAAGCTGACTCCCAGGCCAGGCCTAAACATGAGGAGACGCAGTCTCTTTCTCCAAGAGAGTCTACTTCTGGGGAAAATGAGCCGGAGCCCGAGCCTAAGCCCAAGACTGACACAAGTCCTCATCCCATTTGTGGATAAATAAAACCCCAGCATGAAAGCAGTGACCTGAAGTAGACTAGAATTTTAACATCTCTCGCTTTCAAATATTCTCTACCTCTTCTAAAAAATACAGCACCTGCATGTTCCAATACGTGTGGAGAGCTATCCCTAAGCTTGGTGGTCTGCCACCCTCCACACTTTTAGATGAGGCTTCGAACCATCCAATCAAGGTGATTTTCATAGACCAGCCCTGGATAAAACCCAGTGATATACACATCTGTCTATTAAACAGGTTTCAGTTAGTCACTTATTAGGCCCTATTCCTTCTGATATATACCTATTGACCATTTTGTCAAGGAAGTAAAGTTTACAGTGAATCTCCAAGCCATCTCAATTATTCTCAACTTTCCCAGAAAGCAGGTTCTTGCTGCACAGCATGGCATCAATGCAGAGGCATTAGTACTAATGAGAACTGGTCTAGACCCATTAAAGCCAAGAAGTTGGCAGTACCCGGACGTGATCTTAACTTTTAAACTTCTTAAACACTACTCTCTATATAGGTTCCTTGAAAAATATATTTAAAAAAAGAAGAAGAAATACTTAATAAAGCAGACTAGTTATTTTAGGAGAGAAGACACAATATGAATATGTAAAATTTATTTATACTTAGTTTGGGAATGTGGAAATTATATGAACTTTTGATAACTGGTTGGCTTCTTAACTGTGTTTTGCTTAGGCTATCCTAAGTTTATATCCTCCAAGCATGCGCCAACTTTGAACAGGTGATCCAAGGCATCATGGGAGCAGACCATCAGGAAATAACCATTTCCTACAAGTGCCAACAAGAGAACTGTCTTATGCCTAACCTTTGTTTCCACCCTATATGTCACCTGGTACTTTTAAACTATGCCCCAGATATTTGCTCATTAACTTTGCTGGCATGACTTTAAGTCTGGGAAGCTTCTTTTCTGACTCTTCCAAAATAAAACATACCAGAACCGACCTTTCCACTTGAATGACTTCTTAAAGATAATTACATTAAACCACTCTATTTTCTAACCTAAGCTGGAAAAAACAGTCTCCTAACACGGCAGGGATGTCCACTATCACCACTGCTATCCAACACAGTACTAGAAATCCTAGCCTCAGCAATCAGACAACAAAAAGAAATAAAAGGCATCTAAATCAGCAAAGAAGTAGTCAAACTCTCACTCTTTGATACTTTATGTGGAAAACCCAAAAGACTCCACCCCAAAACTGCTAGAACTCATACAGGAATTCAGTAAAGTGGCAGGATATAAAATCAATGCACAGAAGTCAGTGGCATTCCTATACACCAACAACAAGACAGAAGAAAGAGAAATTAAGGAGTCGATCCCACTGACAATTGCACCCAAAACCATAAGATACCTAGGAGTAAATCTAACCAAAGAAGCAAAGGATCTGTACTCAGAAAACTATCAACTACTCAAGAAAGAAACTGAGGAAGACACAAAGAAATGGAAAAATGTTCCATGCTCATGGATTGGAAGAACAAATATTGTGAAAATGTCTATGCTACCCAGAGCAATCCACACATTTAATGCAACCCCTATCAAAACACCATCAACCTTTTTCACAGAAATGGGACAAATAATCCTAAAATTTGTATGGAACCAGAAAAGACCCCAAATAGCCAGAGGAATGTTGAAAAAGCAAAGCCGGCAGCATCACAATTCCGGACTTCCAGCTCTATTACAAAGCTGTCATCATCAAGACAGCATGGTACTGGCACAAAAACAGGCACACAGATCAATGGAACAGAATAGAGAGCCCAGAAATGGACCCTCAACTCTATGGTCAACTAATCTTCGACAAAGCAGGAAAGAATGTCCAATGGCAAAAAGACAGTCTCTTCAACAAATGGTGTTGGGGAAATTGGACAGCCACATGTAGAAGCATGAAACTGGATCATTTTCTTACACCACACACAAAAATAAACTCAAACTGGATGAAAACCCTAAATGTGAGACAGGAATCTATCAAAATCCTTGAGGAGAACACAGGCAGCAACTTCTTCGACCTCAGCCGCAGCAACTTCTTCCTAGAAACATCGCCAAAGGCAAGGGAAGCAAGGGCAAAAATGAACTATTGGGACTTCATCAGGATAAAAAGCTTTTGCACAGCAAAGGAAATAGTCAACAAAACCAAAAGACAACCGACAGAATGGGAGAAGATATTTGCAAATGACATATCAGATAAAGGGCTAGTATCCAAAATCTATAAAGAACTTCTCAAACTCAACACCCAAAGAACAAATAATCCAATCAAAAAATGGGCAGAAGATAGGAACAGACATTTCTGCAAAGACATCCAAATGGCCAACGGACACATGAAAAAGTGCTCAACATCACTTGGCATCAAGGAAATCAAAATCAAAATCACAATGAGATACCACCTCACACCAGTCAGAATGGCTAAAATTAACAAGTCAGGAAACAACAGATGTTGGCGAGGATGTTGGTGGGAATGCAAGCTGGTGCAGCCACTCTGGAAAACAGTATGGAGGTTCCTCAAAAAGTTGAAAACAGAGCTACCCTACGACCCAGCAATTGGACTACTGGGTATTTACCCCAAAGATACAAATGTAGGGATCCAAAGGGGCAACTGCACCCCAATGTTTATAGCAGCAATGTCCACAATAGCCAAACTATGGAAAGAGACCAAATGTCCATCGACAGATGAATGGATAAAGAAGATGTGGTATGTATACATATATACATACACACACACAACACACAACACCATGGACTATTACGCAGCCATCAAAAAAGGAAATCTTGCCATTTGCAATGATGTGGATGGAATTAGAGGGTATTACGTGAAGCAAGAGAAGTCAATCAGAGAAAGACAATTATCATATGATAATTGATATATGAAATTTAAGAAACAAGGCAGAAGATCATAGGGGAAGAGACGAAAAAATGAAACCAGAGGAAACCACAGAGGGAGATAAACCGTAAGAGACTCTTAATCTTAGGAAACAAACTAAGGGTTGCTGGAGGGGAGGGGGGTGAAGGGATGGTTAACTGGGTGATGGACACTGGGGAGGGTATGTACTATGGTGGGCGCTGTGAATTGTGTAAGACTGATGAATCACACACCTGTACCCCTGAAACAAATAATACATTATGTTAATAAAAAAATAAATTAAAAAAATAATAATTTTTTAAAAAGTCTAATTTGGACCCATGTAACTTCATACTTAGGTCAATTACTTATTTCAACTAGGGAGCTCACAATGGGGAAAAATTGGGGCACAAGACGCATATCAATTTTTTAAAGCCCATTTTTCCCAGAAAGTTGCTGTGTTATTTTTGTAGCTAAATAAACAGAAGAGAGTACCAGAAATACTGTGGTAAATGCACACACTTGATAAAGGGTAGGATATAACTGGTGTCTCCTCAGGCAACAACCTACACAACCGTACATAGCGGCCATGGCTTCACACAAAAGGCCAGCGTGCTCGTTCTGATGGAGGAGAAACACCAACACATCAACAACCTATTTTATATTTTATCTCCTCTAGACTTGACTATCAAGAGCACAAACGTGTTCGCAATGGTCTCCTAAGAGACCCCGCTGTATCTATTTGTGAAGTCCCCCAGTGGACTCTCCCCCTGAATCAGCACTTCTTCCCTCAGCCAACAACTCCCACCCACCTGCTGAGACGTCAGCTGTGCTTGACCTCTCTTTATGGCCGTTGTATTAAAAGCTACTACTGAACTGTTAATTAAGAAAAAGCCCATGGGCACCTGGGTGGCTCAGTCCGTTAAACCTCCGACTCTTGATTGATTTCGGCTCAGGTCATGATCTCAGTGTCGTGGGATCTAGTCCCGCAGCAAGCTCTGTGCTCAGCAGGGAGTCTGCTTGAGATTCTCTCTCTCCCTCTCCCTCTGCCCCTCCACCCACCCCCTGCACTCATGCCCACTCTAAAATAAATCTTGAAAGTAAAACCCAACTTCTTTACCTCCAACACTGTATCTGTCATTACATTTAAGGGCCCAGGTATCAAAATTCAACAAGTAAAAAGCTCACTCGTCCTTAATTTAATGGATAAGAAGTTCCACAACTTTCTACTACATCAAAGATTGTAGCTGCAATAACAATTTAACTTCGTGTCTCTTACTGGTGCAATGGCTTAGATTTATATTCACTGCTTTGTGCTGGAGTAGCACAACTGTTTGGATCATTATATAAGAGACTGCACTTGATGACACTCACGCTGTTTCGCTGAGGCCGCCATGCCTGGCTTCTTTCCATTAGATATTATGGCTGACTACCATTTAAAAAATGGGATTTGGCTGTTACTAATGAATTCCTTGTGTGATTTTGCCACAGTAAAAAACTATAAATGCTGCCATGATCACTGAAGCAAACTAGGCAGAACTAACTACTAGGCGTCTTGCAGAAATATATTATGTCAGCAGGAGATGGATCCCATGGTTTTCTAAAACAATTTACTACCATTAAAATGATAAAAGGTTAATGTGTGCTAGGCTGCCACTCCCATTAGAGGAACAGGGATTTTAAAACTGCATTGAATTAGAACCTTCTTTCATCAAACGATTCATTCAACACCCAGTAAACACATGCTGTATTTTTCACTCTTTTCCAACAGATTTCTTTCTTCCCTCCAAGAAACGTTTATGGAGAATGCCAATATACACCACTGATAAGAGCGGAGCTGCTCGGTGTGATACAGGTAGGGCTTAGCCCTCTCCTTGCCCTACTTGCCATTTGGAGTTTTGTACACCTTCTAGGGAACAGAGGAATTCACAGTTGGAAAACCACTAAAGTCCTAGGAAGAATGGAGACTCTAAAAGCAGTTCTGCCCTTTACTAGCTGTTACTCTGGGTGAGTTAATCCTCTGAGGACTGTTATTTGGCTCACAATTTTTTTGAAGAACTCTCTGTACATCTTTGTAAACTATACACTATTACACGAAGCTAATAAAGTATGCAAGACCCTTTGCTAAGCGAACAAGATAAAGAGTCTCTGTAGAGAGCTTACAATAGACACAGAACACCACCACCACGCAGTACCGCCATTCAGAGTTCTGGGCCATGTGTGTACCTGGTGCCCGGAGCAAAGAACTGTTAAATAACTAAGAAACCGGTTCTGCCTACAGCGTAGGAAACTTCACAGAGATGCAGTGACAGGTCAGCTGGGCTCTGCGGTTGGGCAGAAAGGAGTTAACACAGACCTGAGGCTGCTATCCTCAGAAAGGCCTACTTGCAAGGGTGGCCCTTAGATCATGTGTGGGAACTTAACTGGGAAACAGTTCTCTACGCTGATGCGACACTTCCGAAAGGATGTACAATGTGGTTTCTGCTGAACACCTGCCTTTACTTCTGGGAGCCTAGAATTTTGGTGCATGCTAGGCAGAGGGGAGCTACGTGATCAGACGACCAATAAAGACCCTGAGCACAGAGTCCCTAATGAGGGGCTCCCTGATAGAACACACTCAACCCATGTGGTCACAACTTGTTGGGAGGAATCAAACATGCCCTGAGTGACTCCACTAGGAGAGGACTCTTGGAAGCCGGTGCCTGGTCTCCTCCAGACTTTGCCCCATGCACCCCTCCCTTGGCTGATTTTGCTGTGTATCCTTTCCCTGTAGTAACGCTCAGTCGTGAGACCATATAGTAAATCCTGTGAGTCCTAGTAAATCACCAAACCTGGGGGAGGTCCTGGGGACTCCTGGCACGGAGGCACACTCTCAAGTACTCGCTAGCCATTTAAAGTGTAATCTGCTTACACAATTTGTTTTCAAGCTCAATTTATTTTCAAAATCTAAGAATTGCCTCCCCTCCTCCATTACGACAGCAGGGCTTAAAAAAGGCAGAGATAAGGAAAGAAAACTTTAGAAAAATAAAGTGTTTGCTGTAAACATTCCTTAAGGCAAATTTGGGGGCTACTGTGCATCATCACTTCTACAACCACACCCAAAAGCCACAATACTAGTAATTTCTACATCAAAAGAAGCTACTCTTCTTAAAATAATCCAACACTCTTCTTTCCTACTATCCTTCCATGTTTTCAACTTAAGTTAGAAGATGTTTTGGTGGGGGGGGGGGGGAACTACTACATATCCTTCAGCACAATTTAGATTTTTTTTTTTTTAAGATTTTATTTATTTATTTGACAGAGAGAGACACAGTGAGAGAGGGAACACAAACAAGGGGGAGTGGGAGAGGGAGAAGCAGGCTTCCCGCGGAGCAGAGAGCCCGATACGGGACTCGATCCCAGGACCCTGGGACCATGACCTGAGCTGAAGGCAGTTGCTTAACAACTGAGCCACCCAGGCGCCCTAGATTTTTTTTTTAATTAGGCTCCACAGAGCCTAAGGATTAGCAATGATTTTTTTTTTTTTAAGGGAAAGATATAGGGGCGCCTGGGTGGCTCAGTTGGTTAAGCGACTGCCTTCAGCTCAGGTCATGATCCTAGAGTCCCAGGATCGAGCCCCGCATCGGGCTCCCTGCTCGGCGGGGGGTCTGCTTCTCCCTCTGACCCTACCCCCTCTTGGGTTCTCTCTTTCTCTCTCATTCTCTCTCTCTCAAATAAATAAAATCTTAAAAAAAATTAAAAAAAAAATAAAGGGAAAGATATATTACCAATCTGACTGCTTCTTTCATTTCTTCTGAAGCAATTGCCAAGATTTCTGTAGTAGGATTGAAGGTCAGAGAAGTAACACCTGTAACCAAGTTCATTATGGCTTTTATAGGCTTTGGGTTTGTTTCCTGGAGACAAGAATCTTGATTGTATATGTTTACCACTCCACAATTAGAACTGTAAAGAGAAAAGAGAATACAACAAATTAAAAGAACAAAAGGGCTTTCACAACCTAGATGAAAACAGACTGAACCCCACACACTGATATCTGTAGCAATCATAGCGTATTTTTACAAAGGGAACTGTAGAGTTCATCCCAAAGTAAAAGCTAAACACATTCTACCAGTTCTCCTGCAGTCTTACTAAACTCTTGTTAACTCTGGCAGCTTTTCAACTGTGAGCTAGAAATTCAAGAATGCATAAACTCTCCATATTCATTCCTTCCCTAAATATTTACTGAACGTCAACTTTATGCCAGGCACTAGAGTTAAGTGATACAAAGGTGAACAAGATCGAGACCAAGCCTGCCACTCCCATGGTGTTTATGGCTGACCTAACATTCGAAAATGAGAATGAGAGCTGTCCTTCCCTTATTTAGAGTTCCTCTTTTCTCTTTTTATTCTATCATATTTGTGAGACCTGCCAAAACAGTGTCGAACAGCAGCTAGTAATAGGTATCTTAGTTCTGCTCTCCTGGGACTATCTACAGTCAAGAATTATGGAAGTGATCACGTACTCTGTTTACTGAAATGTTAACAGCAACAACTTACATCCAATACTCATAAAAAGTAAATCCTGATGACCTGCCCATTACCAGAATCATTCACAGACAAGAACTTTCAGTAAATGTTCAGACTACCTCCTGTTATGGGCATCATTTATAAGGAAGAAGGACGAGGTACTTGTAACTCAGATAATTAATTCAAACTTCATTAGCAAATGCAACACAAACCTGAAAGATGCAAGAGAAAAAGCCTCAAAAGTCACAAGGGTGACACACGTACATTCCACTAAATGTGCTCTCATTCTTCCCACTCAAACATCCTCATTTATTCTTTCAGTATCTACTGCCTACAATGAATCAGACATAATGCATTAACAAGACCAATTCAGTTGACACACAGGGTTCTATACCTGAAATGACAGCCAACCACACAAACAGTACGTGAGTGCTTTTTTTTTTTTTTTTTAAGATTTTATTTATTTATTTGACAGAGAGAGACACAGCGAGAGAGGGAACACAAGCAGGGGGAATGGGAGAGGGAGAAGCAGGCTCCCCGCAGAGCAGGGAGCCCGATGCGGGACTCGATCCCAGGACCCTGGGATCATGACCTGAGCTGAAGGCAGTCGCTTAACCAACTGAGCCACCCAGGTGCCCAGTACGTGAGTGCTTTTGAGTCTTCCAACTACTTACATACACATTTTCTCATTTGATTCTCAGAACCCTTTAAGTAGAGCTAACCATAACCACTCAGGAGACACAACAAATATCCTTGGTTTATTTAATTTTGTTATGGACGGAGTATCTGCCCCACTGAAATTCCTATGATGAAATCTTAACGCCCCCTTATTAGGAGGTGGGGCCTATGGGAGGGAATTAGGTCACAACGGTGGAGCCCTTATAAAAGTGACCCCAGGGGCGCCTGGTTGGCTCAGTCGTTAAGCGGCTTCCTTTGGCTCAGGTCATGATCCCTGGGTCCTGGGATCGAGCCCCACATCGGGCTCCCTGCTCAGCGGGAAGCCTGCTTCTCCCTCTCCCACTCCCCCTGCTTCTGTTCCCTCTCTCGCTGTCTCTCTGTCAAATAAATAAATAAAATCTTTAAAAAAAAAAAAAAAAAGTGACCCCAGAGGCTCTCTCCCTCTTTCCATGTGAGGACACAAGAAGTCGACGGTCTGTAACCAGGGAGAGGGTCTCCACAGGACCCAATCATGTGGGCACCCTGACCTCAGACTCTCAGTCTCCAGAAGGAGGAGAAATAAAATTCTGTTGTTTCTAAGCTACCTAGTCTATGGGTCTTTATTATAGCAATCCAAAAGGACTAACAAATTTCATCTTTTCCTTATTTGTATTTTTGACTTGGATCAAAAAATCTACTCATTGTACTTTTCTTGCTAAACACTGATTTATGACTGGGGCGCCTGGGTGGCTCAGTTGTTAAGCGTCTGCCTTCAGCTCAGGTCATGATATCAGGGTCCTGGGATCGAGCCCCGCGTCCGGCTCTCTGCTCAGCAGGAAGCCTGCTTCTCCCTCTCCCGCTCCCCCTGCTCGTGTTCCCTCTCTCGCTGTGTCTCTCTCTGTCAAATAAATAAATAATATCTTTAAAAAAAAAAACCACTGATTTATGGCTAAATCCATCTTAATTAAGGACAAAAAGTTATAATCCATATGGCTCTCTCTTTTTTTTTTTTAAGATTTTATTTATTCATTTGACAGAGATAGCACAGCGAGAGAGGGAACACAAGCAGGGGGAGTGGGAGAGGGAGAAAAAGGCCTCCTGCAGAGCGAGGAGCCCGATGCAGGGCTCGATCCCAGGACTCTGAGATCATGACCTGAGCCGAAGGCAGACGCTTAACGACTCAGCCACCCAGGCGCCCCCATATGGCTCTCTTCTAAACATCAATTTTTTTAAAGATTTTATTTATTTATTTATCTGAGAGAATGACAGAGAGACAGAGAGAGAAAGAGAGCACAGCAGGGTGAGGGGCGGAGGAAGCAGCAGCTCCCGGGACTCTGGGATCATGACCTGTGCCGAAGGCAGACGCTTAACCAACTGAGCCATCCAGGCGCCCCTTAGATCAAATCTTACCTTCATGAACATGAGAGGCTCCTTAAATGCCTACTCATTCTTATTTGACTATTGATTAAATTTGTGGAACAAAAATGGCACAAGTTGATCATTTTGATATATGGAAACTTAATCTAACAGTGGTATTTCTGCTAAAAGAATAGAATTGATTCTGGGGCACCTGGGTGGCACAGTCAGTTGAGCATCCAACTTTTGGTTTCAGCTTAGGTCATGATCTCAGGGTCGTGAGATCAAGTCCCACATCGGGCTCAGTGCTCAGTGCAGAGTCGGCTTGGGTTTCTCTTTCCCTCTCCCTCCGCCCTCACCCCCAACCCCCCACTTGCTCTCTTTAAAATAAACTTTAAAATGTTTTGTTTTGGGGGCGCCTGGGTGGCTCAGTTGGTTGAGCGACTGCCTTCGGCTCAGGTCATGATCCTGGAGTCCCTGGATCGAGTCCCGCATCGGGCTCCCTGCTCAGCGAGGAGCCTGCTTCTCCCTCTAACCCTCCCCCCTCTCATGTACTCTCTCTCTCTCATTCTCGCTCTCTCAAATAAATAAATAACATCTTTAAAAAAAAAATGTTTTGTTTTGTTTTGTTTTTCTAAAGATTTTATTTATTTATTTGACAGAGAGAGACACAGTGAGAGAGGGAACACAAGCAGGGGGAGTAGGAGAGGGAGAAGCAGGCTTCCCTGAGGAGCAGGGAGCCCGATGCGGGGCTCGATCCCAGGACTCTGGGATCATGACCTGAGCCGAAGGCAGACGCTTAACAACTGAGCCACCCAGGTGCCCCTAAAATGTTTTTTAAAAAATGGATATAAGAGATTCTAATATGTCACTGAGAGTAGTATTTACTGAATAAGAACTGTATGTCCAACAGTACATAATACAGGAATACAAAATATCAGAAGGAATTTATCCCAGAAAAAAATATACCTGCATGTAATAGCCAGAAATACAAGAAAATATAATACAGCCCACTAAGCTCTGTATGCGACCTATAACATAAGGAAAGGAAAAATCAGTATAAGGTGAGGCTGGACCAGATGAAACTTTGTGGAAGACACAGGACTCAAGCTGGGGAAGGCAGACATTAAGTTAAGAAACAGAACAGGGGGACGCCTGGGTGGCTCAGTCAGTTAAGTGTCTGCCTTCGGCTCAGATCATGACCCCAGGGTCCTGGGATCGAGCCCCGCATCAGGCTCCCTGCTCAGCGGGGAGCCTGCTTCTCCCTCTCCCTCTGCTCCCCCTGCTTGTGCGCTCTCTCTCTCATAAACAAACAAACAAGGTATCATAGGTAAGGGGAAGAACAGGAACAGAGAAACAAGCATGCTTACTAGCTTACCCCTGAACTCTTACCTAAAGAAGTAGACATGACTGCTACCCTTCTACCCCCAACCACAGCTGACTGGGCTAGAAGCAAGTTCCTGAATCACAGGCAGTCAATCTATTAGCAGATCAGCAACCACAGAGTGTCATGGTACACAAAAATCTTCACAAACAGGAATGATGGCAATTAGCCAGATCAGCGTTTGTCTTATGAATTAGGACTGGGAATCACGGTGGTGGTGGGTGTCATAAAAGGCATATAGGAAGAGCACACAGGGGCCACAAAGAAATTAATATTATGAGCAAGAAGAAACTATAAAGTAGAATAGTAGTCACCAACCAGGGACAATTCTGCCCCTGGGGGGACATTTTAACTGTCACAACCAGGGGGCCACCATAGCCATAGACATCCTGTAGAACTTAAAGCAAACAAGCTGAACACAGAACTCAAATCCTCTCCTCTGCTGAATTCTCAGAGACTGAACTCTATTGTTTTTCTTCTTATCCTCAGTCACCTCTTTCCCCATAGATTCTTGTCCCCAAGGTTCTATTTCCCACCTACCTCTAGGTGGTCTCATTCATCTCATTTACTCCCACGGACCACCCATCTCCTATCACGTCTAAATTAGTGCCTTTACTCTAAGCCACACCGCACTTCTAACTGCTTGTGGACATGAATGCACCTCTTCCCACACTCCTCCTCCTCCTCCACCTCCTCCTCCCCCCTCATACTAGGACAAGTCCACTCTTCTGGCTGCTCAAACCCAGAGCCTGAGAATGTCACTGCTTCTCTCCCATCCCAATTTTCTAAGCAGCTCTGACATAAATCACAAACCTCATTGCCTATCTCTCCCGTATTCCCATTACCACGTCCTTAGCGATGGCCCCATTGCAATGACCTCAAGGCTCCCTGCACCTGTTGCCCCCCCTAAAAGCTGTCATGCGAATTAGCTACTTCCAACCCTAAAATTTAGATATTATCATGATTCTCCTCTACTTAAAAACCCTTGATGTTTTCTCTTTCCACTCAATGTAATGTCCACACTCTTCAACACAGCGTAA